TTTGAAATTCAGATTCCCTGCACAAGCATGACTATTAACTGGCCATTTCAACAAGGAAAACACTGGTATCCAACTAAGAGCCTTTATAACCACAAGCATTTGGTAATGTGTGCTATAATTATTAATAATAAATAAAACCACTGCAAACCAGGAGAGGCTATGCTTAAGTAGTTAAACTCATACTATTTTTGTACAATCTGGTATTGCAGAAACAATCACAGTTCACACCATCACATTTTGCATGTGTGCTCCAGGAGCAAGAGCGATAGGGATCAGCTTAAAGACCCTCTGCTGTTACGAATTCTAGAAGGGTGGGCTTGTTACCTACTCTGAGAGCAACAGAGTCCCGCGGCACCTTAAGAACTAAATAAGATGCATCAATAACAGAGGCGTTCGCGGATCCCACTCCACTTCCATCATCAGGTGCATGAACTGCAGTCTTGAGTCGGTAAGCATACAGGCATCATGCATGGTTATGGGGAATGCAGAGCCCTGAGGTTACGAGGGGGAACTCATGGCGAAGAGCCCAAACTTAATGGCAAGGGAGGGTGCGCTTGCTCCCCCCCCCCTACCGCCCGCATTTACCTTGTGCCTTACGGAGCCCGGCCTCGCCATCTCCTTCCAGCCAAGAGGCTGCCTCTTCCTCCAAGCTGACTGACGGGCCCAACGGTTACTCACGGGGCAGAGCCTGTCTCAAGCCCCGCCCCTTATTTGCTCTCATTGAGGCGGCGGCGGCGGCAGACCGAGCGGGAAAGGAAGAGGTAGGAGGGAAATAAATAAGAGCCCGGCGGTCTGTTCTATTCTATTGGCTAGAGCCGTTCCTAAGTCGGACCAATAGAGGAAGCGGAGCGTGAGAGAGGCGTGGCTTACTTAGCCCGTTTGTCCCTTACCCGCGGAGGGTGGGACCGGTGTTTACTAGGCGCTCTGCACGCGTTTCTCTGGGAGTGAGAGCCATTGAAATGAGTGGGAAATCCCCACTAAAACAGGACAGATTTTTATTGCTGCTGGGGAAAGGGAAGGGGACCTTGCTTTTGGCTCCGGAAGCTCATCCTGCGGTCAGTGTGTTAGCCTAAGGCAGAGGTTTTCAACCTTTTTGAGTCCACGGCTCCCTTGACCAGCTGCATTCTTTTGGCGGCACTCCTGTGGGGCTCAGGAGGTCACCCTTTGCCTGCAGAGCTGGCAGCCTCTCACACTTTTTCGAACACCCTTCCTTGTGGAGTCTTCTTTCAGCCTCCTCTTCTCCCCTCTTCTTGGGAGTCCTCTGGGCAACTGCTGCTGCTGCCGCCACCCCTGGCCCCCGAGCTGCGTCCCCTGCCCACAGGGGCCTGGGAAGCACCCACTGGCCAGCCCCAGAGGCACCCTTCGCCTGGGGAACTTGTAGCCAAGGCTGCTGCAACAAACAGCTGTGCAAGCCTTGGGGAGGCAGAGGTGCAAGAAGGCATCAGAGAAGGGAGGGAAAGAAAAAGGGGCAGAGTTCAGTGTTGCCTGTGGCACACCCACCATCATTCAAGGTGCCACGGCACACTGGTTAAAAACCACTGGCCTAAGAAGATACCCAATCAGCCTTGTGGTTCTTTTATAAAATAAATCACCTTCTGTGGTGCCACAGCATTTGTTTCAACATACAATGCTGCTTCTTATGACATCCTACAGGTACTGGTTATTTTTCCAACAATTCAACGCAGTCAGCTTTGTTATTGGGCAGCATATACATATTGTTAATTTTAAAAATCCACTTACCATTAACCTACTTTTGTGGGAGTTATTGATTTGTTCTTGTTCTTGTTTTGATTATGTATTTTGTCTTATCATTTTGTTGTGAACTGCCCTGTGATCTTTGGATGAAGGGTGGTATACAAATTATTATTATTAATAATAATAGTGCCAGCATATGAAAGTAAACTTAAAGATGTCAGACAAATTATTAAGGTATTATTATTTATCCCTTTGGTGTGCCACCTTGCAGAGGGGAAAGAGGCAACAACAAACAAGCTTCCAGGCACCCAACTCCAGCTTAGGATCAGTCCGGGTCCGGGAAGACACTTCAATTGTGTCAGTGGGAGCAGACTGGCAACCCACTCCCTGGCCCCCTACCGAGCCTCAAAGAGGTACAGAGAGATACTGATGTTATTGCTCACCTCAGGCTGAGAAACACACTCTGTGTCCAGCTCCTCAGCATCCTTCTCCACCTTCGCAGGGGGAGCCTCAGCTCTGCACCCCCAACTTTCGGGCACCCCCCCCCAACAATCATAAACCTCATTCTCATGCTTCCTACCCACTCATACTCTCCACCCACAACACACAATTCAGAGGTAGATTCTTACCACCACCCATCTGAAACCTTTGTGGTGCTTGGTCTCCAATTTCTGTTACCACATTCAAACAGCTGGTGCCAACACAAAGCAAAGCCATAACATGCCTACAATTTCCCCTGAAATGCCTGGGTGAAAATGATGCATTTTCAGTTGTTGACTAAAGGGAGGGAGGGAGGCAGTGATATCTCCCCAAAGAGAGTTCAAGAATTGACGTGCTGCTTGCTGGATTTCAGTGGGGTTAGCACTCTAGCGTTTAAGTATTCGAGACAGGCAAACTAGCTTTTATTGCTTTTTGTCTTGTACTCTGATTTCCAAATGTATTCTCACACATTAGTTTCCTTTCTTATTTTAACTGGTAACGGGTTCATATTTGTATGCTGCTATTTTTATAATTATGAATTACTCGACCTCTATGAACCTTGTGTGTTTTCTTGGGGTTAAACTTTAGCTCTGAATCCTGCTTGGTCAAACTGCTACTGAGTAATGTGGGCTTGTTGCTCAAGAGGCAGTGTTCTGGTTGTTTATCTCTTGCTTTCCTATCTAGCTCTTGCACACTGTTCAGTGTACAGCCCAGGATTCTCCGGACTCAGGTTGAGTGGACTAACAGAAGTGGTGGCAGCATCTGCTGTGCAGGGCTGGTTTTACTCTAGTCATTTGGCACCTTCTACACCAAAGGGTAGCTAGTGCTCAGGTCTTGAGCGCTGAGAGTCTCTTACAGCTCCTATGTATGTCCATTTTGCCTGTTTGTAGTTGTCAAGTGAGCCAGGGCTAACAGATAAGTATAGTGGTGCTTGAAGGCCCATACCGTGGATCCACACTTCATTGAAGTGTAAATGGAAGTGTCCTGTCCCCTGTGCTGAATGCTTAGGCAGTTAGGCAGGCAGATGTACACACATACACATGTTCATACAGTTTCCCCAATACACATTCACTCTTCTGTCGATTTCTCATCACTGCATTGGGCTGGGAGACGTTCCATTCCTCCTAGGCCAGCATGGTAATGGGGAGGAAGAATAGTCCTTCCTCTTCAGTTATCAGAACCTCCCCCTGCCCCCAGCCCATCACTCCAATGGGGAATAAAGCTTTCCAATTACCTTGCAAAGTTGTCCCTTCTTCCTCTAAGGTGGCATTAGTGCTTAGCAAAGAGGAAGGACTATTCCCTTAAGAGTTAACACCTAGGAACATCACAGCCCAAGAGGGAGAAGAAGTGCCTTTGTAGGATTAGTGGAGGTCAAGAGGAAAATAAACAGCACCCTTTGGCAGAGGGCTGGCTGGTCAGTCACAGGAAGCAGCTTTGTGGGCCCGATGCAGCCCACAGAGTTGCCACCCCTACTCCAGAGCAATGGGATTCCTGTCTTTCTGGCACCCAAATGCAATCAGGGCTAAAACCCTACTACACATTGACCATATTGAGAGACTGTTCACGGTTGCGATCATCTGGTCTAGTACCTGCTCTGATACGAAGCATCTTCGACTCCTTGTCTAAAACCATCCTTGGCAGCTCCCTTCCATCTCCCACAACTTATTTTGCAGTAGGTGTTGTTGTCTTTTGTTTCCTTAAAAGTGAAACTGCTTCCAGTTGTTTACATTTAGTGGACTTTAAAAGAGCAATCTTGCTACCAGACATTCAACCTAAGCCCTTCTTGCAGCTACCAGTTAGGTGCCTTTATCAATCTGTGTGCTCAGGTTCCTGGTTAAATATGGATTAAGGGCACTTCTGCAGCACTGGGTGCCACAGGATGTCACAACTACTGTATGATGTAGTGCCCATGCAGAACGGAAAGCAAGAGGTAGAGGGGTACCAAATTTTGGCTTTGCACCACTGAAATTTGAAAGACCAAAATCCACTCCTGGGTGGAATGAACTTCTGCCATGTGCTTTTTTGTAAGAGTCTTTTAAGCATTATTTAAAATTTAATATCCTTATTGTGTAAGCTATGAGTACTTTCTAGGGAAATTTCTAGTTTGAAAGAGGCTTCCAATTAGTGTTGACCACCTACTGATTTTATGGGCTACAGAGATGTAGCTTGTTGAACTGACAGTAACATTGGGTTGAAGGCCTGGGAGTTGGAGTTCATCAGTTCCTCCCCCCCCCCCCCCCCAAAAAAAATCATGTAAAGTTCAGGTATGATACTCTCATTATAAAAGTGTTTAAAAGGCGTAAATATGTATAAAAATACTTAAGGAAGCATTTATTAAGTCTACATTTTACATAGGTAGGAATCCTCTGGCCCTCCATATGTTGCTGGACTGCAACATCCACAGTCTCTGACCTCTAGCTGCACTGGTTGCTGGGGATGATGAAACTGGAATCCAACAACATCTGGAGGACCACAAGTTCCCCATTTTCTGGTTTTTTAAAAAAAAGAAATTGAAGAAAATAAAGTGCCTGGATGTTCCATATCCCACACCAGCAGTAATTAGAAAGGCAAACAGATTTCCCCTGCAATTACTAGAGGGTGTAGCAAACAATGGATTGTGCCTCTTTTTTGTATGATATGTGTTTTAAAGTAACAGATGCTAAATGAATGAATGAATGAATGAATGAATGTACATGCACTTTTAAACTCCCCCCCCCCCCATGGTGCATATTTGTTTTGTATTCAAGGAAGCAGCTCTAAATTTCCAGGTCTTCACTGTTCCAAAAAGTTGTTATTTATCACTCCGAACATTCACAAACACCAGTGTTAAACATCTTTTATAAATCTGCTTGTAGAGCCAGAGAGTCAAATATTACAATGTGTTTCTAGAGTCACTCTGTTAGCTGTATTGAGACTGGGGTACCTTATTTCACTTTTTCAACACTCACACTTTTGTCTGCTTGTATAATTTATCAATTATAATTTATCAATCATACCACAGAAAGTGAACCCCAGACTAGTTCATTTGAAATATGAGGGGTGCACTATACCTGAATAAATGCACAACTGAACAATCACTAATGGAAAGCAAACTTGAAGGCCTGCTTTTTGTTCCCAGGGAAATAATGGAAACAATTCTGAAGTTTTCCTCTGCAGATGAAGGCATCTGAAATTCCCTCCAGTTTCACATGGCAGTGCCGGATATTTTGAAATGCAAAAAGAGGGGAGAAGGGTGGACCTCAATATATATTTAATATAATAGGTTTATACTATTTGGTAGTCTATGATATTTATTTGGGTGGACGTGTGTATATCATAGCACCAGAAAGTTTAACAGTAGACTGTATTCTACTCCAGTGGCACCTTCTCAATCTATGTTTCCATCTTTCTTATTTGTTGCTTTGCCAAACTGTTTATTAACGGACACAAAGGGAAAAAAGAGACCGAGAGGTTGGCCTATTTGTAATTCTTATTCTGTCCTCTGTTTCGTCTTCTTCCTATCAACATAGCAGTGTATGATGTACTGAGAACTACTCCAACCTGACCCGCGGATTCTGGGTAAAATCATTCACCTTGATCAAGCCGTCTGGCCCAATGCTGTGTAGGGAACATAAAAAAAAAAGAGGTTTGCTCAACCAGCAGTACTTGATCTTTATGAAACTTTCTAAACTTTTATCCCACAAACATAATTGTAGCACCAACTCCTGTCTTTCCAGATGCCATTCTTCCTTCTACCTCTGTGAAGCACACATTTAAAAAGAACTACACCGAGTGCAGGCTGCGCAGTCCAAATTAGTCTGTGAGTCGAGGAATGCCACAAGGTGGCAGCAATCATATATAGTTTGAAATACAGGATGCTTTGACACAAAACACTTTCCCCAAGAAAGAGCCAAAGGGGATAGGAAAGTTGGGATTTAAAACGTATGCCTAAATAAGCAATTCTTGCTATCAGTGGCCGCGACAGTAGCGTTAACTATAATAAATCAGGGATTATGATCAAAAGATTTCTAAAGAGATCCCGCAACCTCAATGGGCATGGAAAAATATATTAAATTCTTAAGTATCAGAATCAACAGGTATAGTGGTTAGAGTGGTGGACTGGGGCATGGTGGACCAGGATTCAAATCCCCACTCAAGTCATGAAGCTCACTGGGTGACCTTGGGTCAGTCATTGCCTCACAGAGTTGTGAGGATAAAATGGGGAGGGGCAGAAACATGTATACCAGCTTGAATTCCTTGATGGGGCTTCCAACTCTCTGAAGCAGATTTTTAAGTTGGGTGACAGAGAAGAGGAAAGTTCCATTGCTATGCTAGCAGAACAGAAGTACTGAACACAATCCCAAGTTTTTAGAGGCATGGTATGTCAAACTGGGATTTTTTTCCAGTCCTGATTATTCTGTTTAATGTGAGGATGTCCTGTCCTGTGAACAAACTGGCCCTAGGACTTAGCAATATCTGTCCCTATAGCTGTAAAAACTACTGCACTTCAATACCATACAAGAGGGTAAAACCTATGATGTAAATAGCCACACGCCTTGACATTTACGTTAGCTGTATGTATTAGATATATTGGGGTTACTTACATCTCCTGCTCAATATAATTCAGCATTCGACTAACATGAGATGCTGAAATCTCCCCATCTACTTCAGCGATGTAAGTGTAGAGAAACTGGAAAGTGCTGAAGGGGATACGGGCGGGTCCACTGTCATTCTCATTGGATAAAACCTCACATATTATCTTCAGAGTTTTTGCAATAGTCTATTAAAAAGATAAGAAGAATTAGTATCTAAGTTTGCCATTCATCTTAAAGCAACTAGTTATTATGCATTTCTAGAAATACTAAAAAAGAAATAGCTCGGTGTCTGGCTATAAAGCCATAAAGCAGTGATAGCTATTGTGGTGTCCTCCAGATGTTGTGGCCCAACTCCCTTCAGCCCTGCTCAGTTGGGAAATGGTCAGGGATGGTGAGAGTTGCTGGCCAAAATGTCTGGGGGGCCCCACATTGGCTACCCCTGCCATAAACAGAAGAGTTAGCAACTGTTTATTTATGTGACTCAACTAAACAGTCACAGCTTCTTTGCCAGAATTCCTGAGAATTATAGTTAGGTGGTAAGTATAGTTCTGGATAAAACCGCTATGCTGTGGTGGTTTATAGTGTGGTGATTAGAATAAGGGAATGCCAGGTTCAAATCTCCACACAATTATGAAGCTCTGAGGTGAGTTTGGGCCATCATGATTTCCCGGCCTAGTCTTACCTCACAGGGTTATTGTGAGGAGGATAATAAAGGAGTGAAGGGCCTTGTACAAATTATGTGAAGCTTAAATTTTTAAGGTAGGTGTTTCTTGATAAACATCTCTATTATGATGGAAAGCCACACCAAAAATGCAGTTCAATTTTAATGTGCAAAGATGTATCAAAGAACAGTGGACACAGGGCAGAGCTACTATGATACTAATGATTTCAGTGGGATAAAGCACACTTTAATATCTGTTAGACTGCGGCCAATTACTATATACATTGGGCTTTTAGATACTCTCTTAAAAATTATATATATGGCACTTTATAGTAACAATAACGGTAATACATTAATGCACAACATTGTACATAAGGAGATATTCTCTAAGAAAGTTGATGTTTGAGTTGCTCTGTTTTGGTAAATGACTGTTTCCTGATGAACAAAAAAACAATATCTATTAGCTCTGTCTGCTTTTTATCTTTTGCTCACCTGAAGTCAAAATCTTCTCTGAAATCAGAATTATCTCCACAGCTGCTAACTGTAATGTTATAAATATAAGATTATGACTTCAGGTGAGGAAGAAGACTGCAGGAACAGACAAATCCACAAACACAAAAAGCCAGATTCATAAATGGTGCCCCTAAAACAGGCTAAAGGGCAGGAGAGAGAAACAGAAAATACAATGGATTATGATAAAGTTTTGGATGCAAGATTACAACAGTTTATTCCGAGAGATACATTAATCAGCCTATATTAATACAATCAGTGGTCATATGAAGAGTAATGTTAACCCACACTGTTAAGTGTCTTTATAGCATTAGATGCACTTCCGCAGATAATAGCTGTAATAGCTGTCATCAGGACAGCTGCAACAGTGGGATTCTTAGGGCTTCTACCATGTTGTGAGAATGTGGCAACCCCTGATTAGCTGGACGTTATACCAATCCAGCTTTATTCCTTGTAAATTTGCAACCTCCCTTTGTTACATGTAAAAGCAATAATTTCTGTGGAATATGTTTATGTTCACGAATGAGGGAGAGGCCTAAATATCCATACAATATTATCTTACGTTGGTCCAATTTAATAATTCAAATTGCAAAAGTAAAGATTGGGTTGTTGTTGTTTTTTAAATCGAGGCTATTAAGGGAGATTGGTATTACTTGTGATTCATCCAAAAGAGAGCCCACCAGACAAATATGGTGTAACAAAGTCCAGTATTGAAACTCATCTGGGATCTTGTGCAGTTGCCATTGAAAAGAGGGGGAGAAAGGGTGGAGACTGTAGCTGTTAGCTGGTGAACTATCTTGAGGCAGAATGGCTTTTACAAAGCTTATATGATGTGTGGTTCCTCATGGTAGGAAGAGTACGGAAAGTAGGTACAGTGTAGGGAATAAGACAACTCGGCCACTAATGGCGACCCTCCCAACAGCACCAGATTTACTGCAATGTGAAAATGTCCTCTGCCCTTTTAATTCTACACACACAGCAGAATACAGTGGTAGAATCCAAGCTTGGGGGGATTGTGGATTGTACCAATTCGAATTGATGTTCAGAATTGCCATTCACATTAAGAAGAAAATTAGGACTCTGAGAACCAAAGTACTTTACTGGCCTGCTCCTTCTGTGCTACTTTTCAACTTGTATTTTTAAAAACTTGCAGCAGAATATTTTTTAAAACGTGATTCCCCCTACACCTGAAATGGTACCCATCTACTACCATTTCTGAAATCTATAGCCTCTTTCCCAGCTCTTTCTGCTCTGTGTGTACAAGCAGACCTGGGTGAGGCCATATTAGGAACAAATGGGCAGCCAAGGTGTTCTTTCTCCAGTAACCCAGGCAATACCTTCATACAAAGGTCCAATAAGTTGTGGTTGTTGTTCTCACTTTCCTTCTGTTCTGGGAACTGCAAAAATACAGGAAGGGAGGCTGCTACAGTAAGGCCCATTAGGTGGCAGCTGGTTCTGCCTTTCACTGCTTCCCGAGTGAAACTACAAGCTCTTAATAATAATCCACATGGCAAAGTAAATACTAATTATTTAAGGAATCTAAACATATCGGAAATTCAAAAGAAAAGGAACTTACAACTCCAAGAGAGCTGCAGGCCAGAGCTAAAAACTTGAGCCATTCAATTTCTTCAGTAAAGTGTCCAACGTTCATAATACTGTCAAATAGGTCTGTAGGAAGATTGAGCACCTTCCACATCTGGGCTAGCTCATCTACGTGGATTATCAGCCTCCCGCCCACCTGCAAAGAAATATTGGCAATATCTATCATAAGTGAATAAGTGACTGCAGGTTTTTTGTTTTTATTTAGATCTTGTCACCTGCTTTAGTGCCAGGAATTCCTTCCTAATTGTACAAATTTCAGAGATGGTAAGCATTCTCTTTGCTTTGTAGAATCAGTAAAAACAAATAAAAATGTACGAGATCATGGAACTAAGATACAGCTAAGCAGATTGGTATGTTGGTTGAATCCTTGCTCTGTTCTATGTAAGAAGGAGTATGTTGCTGCTTCGATATTTTTTACTGTAAGTGTCCAGGCAAAGAATGAGACAAATGCCACAGGCATGTACTAACTGTTTTAGAAAATGTTGTGCTGAGTTTGTATTAACTGTGGTTCTGCTTTGCACCATGATATCTTGTTGTACTCCTCCCAAAAAGTAAGTAGTCAGGATGTAATCATGTCTGCATCTTCTCAGTTCTGTGATGGGGCAGGGTATCCTTGCTTATTTGTATATGCCAGTTTATCAATATATTAATACATAACTGTCTGGTACCGAGACTGAGCCTTAATTATGAGGTGACATACACCAGCCTAATGTAGATCTTTTGAAAATGGACCAGGAGACATTCAAACTGCTGTTATACTGACTTGACATCTACTAGGCTGGAAAACGCTGAGGGTGCAGGTAATGGGGTGGTGCAGCTGCACCAAGAACTAATTCACCTTCTGCTTCTAGTCTAGTACATGGCTACACCAGGATTGTTTGATTCTAAACTTGCAAAAACAAGCACAGGACTGCTGCTTTTACTGCAGATTCCTACTGTGTAAGAAGGAGAAAATGGACTTACCCTGTCCACTTTTTTTGGCAGGGGAAAACTATATCTTATATCTTAGGACCCCACTGCTAAGATAATATGCTAATGCTTCCATATCTTATTGATTGATTGATTGATTGATTGATTAGATTTATATCCCAGCCTTTCTCTCAAAAGCTGCAAGGGGTCTCACTCTGTGTGCTCATTCCAAAATTAGTTGGTGGTGCTTGAACTCATAGTAGCAAATATTTAAGAAATAAGTTTGTGAGACTGCACTGATTGGTCATGTGCTTTGAGATTATTCCACCATTTTGCTGTTTTAATATTCAATATGCAGCTGTTGAAAAATTAATAACATGGCACAGTTTTAAGAGGTGTCCACAGCAGGTCTACTGCCCTTCAGTGTGTTGTTTTAAACCCTTCACTGCGAGTTGTGCAGCACTGTCCTGAACATGTTTACTCAAATGTAAGCTCTACTTCTGAGTAAGCATATTTAGGATTACAGCCTTAGTATACAGCCATAACCTTGGGAAGCAGTATTTCTGGAAAAGGTTTAATTATGATGTTGGGCTTTTGCATCTATAGCTCTCTGTTTCTTGTGCAGGCTGTGCAATCTGTAGAAACAATGCTAGGTTTTCCTTATGTATTAAGTGTCCCAAAGAAGAGGACCAGTCAGATGAGGGTCATGTGGATCTTGAATGGGCCTGAATTCAATGTAGAAAAGCAGACAGGGGCTTTGGAACAATATGTTGCCGCTGTCCACTTGGGAATAAATGATGCCACTAACGCTGGGGATGTCTATTTTGGGGATATTATCACCCACCCAGTTAATGAAGTTGGTATGCTGTGTCTGCTTTTGAGTGCCATTGTGGGCACAAGAAGAATATAGGAATGAATTCATACACAGGGGAGAATACCCTAGATATGCAGGCGTATATATTTTGTTCTTGAAGCTACCAATATGGGTTTGAACAAACTGCAGGAGGCAGTGGAAGACAGGAGTACCTGGCGTGCTCTGGTCCATGGGGTCACAAAGAGTTGGACACGACTAAACGACTAAACAACAATATATTTTGAAAAAGACCTTTGTACCCCAGAACAAGAAAGAATACAGGGATGCACATGTGTGCTATCCACATGCTGTCTATTCATGTTGGAGCAGAAAGCAGGGCACTAGTGATAGCTCTCAGCTCTCTAGAGTTAGCTGAAGGGAAGCAAGCAGTTGTCTTTCAACTGGAGGCCTGAAATGTGTTTAAATGTGTACAAATCTCCCAGGTCATTTCCCCTTCTCTAGAGCCTTTGAATTGTCAGGTGGCATTTGTCCTTTCAGGGTTTATCCACACTTCCTGTTGCTTTGTGCTTTCTGGGCTTTTCAGGTTCATATCTGAGTGGTTTTTGTCCCAGGGCTTTCCCCAGGAAAACCCTTGTTTTACTCCTGAATCAGAACAAACAGCAAACTGCAGAAAACCTGCTTGCTGTTTATTCCAATCCAGTGGTAAAATATGGGTTTTTCTGGGGAAAGCACCAGGACCAAAAATAATAAATAAGTAACCACTTGGACACAGACTTGTACCTAGGAAGCACGAAGCAAAGGTAAGCAGGGTGCTTCCTAGATTGGTAACTGGGGGTAAGATAGGTGTGTGCTTGAATGGAGAAACAATATCTCTGCACGCTATAGTTTTCAGAGGAGTGCACATTTGGTTATACATTTGAGCGAGCACCTGCATTTGGGATGCATGTCTGTTTCTGGAGCCTGATTTCTCATGGGCACACAAGTACTAAAGTTTCTAGGGATTATTTGAGCTGCAGGTTGTCAATCACAGACACCTGTAGAATCTTCATGACTTCGAAACTGCCGCTTGAATTAATAAACTGCTGTATATTTCTCAGCCACTCTAAAGTGTACTCCGGGGCTATAAAATATTCTAGGTAGTGCTAAAATGATCTCTCCATCATCACAAGCATTTCTGCTGGCCAAAAAAAAAAAAAATCATCTCCCATCTCCTCCCCCACCCTGCAAACTGTTCTAGGGATTTGAGGAGGGTGCAGGGGGAAGAGGGGAGGAAGTCCCATTGTGCTAGTGGGACTCATTGTGGTGCACCCTGCTAGCTCAACAACCTAGTTGAAAATGGCCCATAGTTTATTAGGACTGAAATCAAATTCCAGTGAATAGGAGCCAGCATCAAATGTGCGGGTGTCAGTGCTGTGCTGATGTGAAGATACTAACATCCTAAAATTCAAGGAGTTGTTTCTGGAGTAAGGAACTTATCTTGTGTAAATATATTGTGGGAGAAAATGGAGAAACAGTAGTAGCACAGAAGCACTGCGCATCATTAACTGGGTCCTAAATCCTGTGGCGGTGTATACCCGCTGTCTTCCTAAATAATACATCCTCTTCCACCTGTTCTCTGCTCAAAATGAAAGGCTTAAAAACACAAAAATTGGATCCATTTAACCCATATTGGTACAATAACAGAGCAGTTATGGTTGGTTAGTTTTTTGTGTGAAGAAATTCAAAGCTTGCCATGCTGCTGGTGGTATTAAAATTTTGCATGAAAAGCTACAGATATTGATTCAGAGTACATATGAAAAGATGTCCATGTTCTAATCATAAAGCCCAGTTGTGAATTTTTTCAGCTAATTTGTAAAAATAATCCTTGGGCTACAGGGGCAGCATCTCGCCCTCAGGATTGTGGATGCCCATCGCTGTAATGTGGGCTCCTCCAAAAATGAACACGACATTGCACGTTGTGTGTGTGACATCACATGCACCATGTGCAAGCATGTGTATGTGATGTTGCACGTCCATGTTGCAGCATCGGCTGCTCCTCTTCCTCCTTTTCTGCGGGGAGGGGCATGGACTCAGAAGCAGAGAGACTGCCTCCATGTCCGAGCCCCCACATTGGAAAAGGGTGCCTTGCTTTCTGACTGTGGAGGGTGGAGCTGAACTGCTTCTCTCTCTGAGGCAGCACCACAGAGGCTAGCTGGCTGCCTCTCTCCAGCTTTGCTCATTGACTTTGTGGGGCTCAGCCCCCACAATTATATTATTGTGGGTGCCTAAGCACCCACAGTCCCCTGGAGTTGGCTTCTATGCCGGGCTATAACTGGGTATTGATGAACTAAACATTGGAGTAATTGATTGCATTGCATTGTGCTTACAGTTACAGAAAGAAGCTGGTCATGCTGCTGAAGAGAACTTTATCATGCTGATTCTCCATTTTCTTCTGTGTAACAAGGGGATGAGAACATTTGAGAGGATGGTATAGATAATGGGTAGGGAACCCTTTTCAATTCCCTTTTAGGCAATCTTCTGAGGGCAACATGCTAGCAGTGGGCAGGACCAAAGCGAAAGTGGGTGGAGCGGCCTGTGGAGAAACCTGAGGGCCAGATAGAAATCCCCAAGTCTTGCTTCTTATGTGGTTGCATGCAGAGAGTGACAAGCAAGTTACTACTTTGTAAGTTGTCATCTTTATTCATTGTTTGAGTTATCACAGGGTGGTGAACTATAACTGATGACTTACTCTAAACATGACCATCTGGGTTGCTTTGCTTCTCCCTGGTATGCAAGGGAAACAAACCACAATTCCTGGCTTAGCATTATGTCCAAACCAGGGTTGTGGTTTGTAGTGCTCCAAACAAACCACAATCAGTATGCTAAGTACAAACTTTGGTTGCAGACTGTGGTTTGATTGGAGCAAAACAAACCATGATCTCTGGTTTGCATGTAATGTTAAGCCATGGTTTATTTCTCCCCAGGGAGGAGCAAAGCAGCTCAGATTGGCACATTCAGAGTAATACATGAATTGTTGTCTACCATGAGGTGCAAATGAAGTCAGTGTTTAAAATTAGAGCGTGCACAAAGTATTGCTTACCTATGTGTATCAGGAAGGTTGTGGAACTAGGCTTGAATGTAATAAAAGTAAAGGAATTATGAAGAGCAATAATCTTTTAAATAGTCTTCGTACTTTGGCAGAAGTCTTGTAACCTTGACATCTTGTAATAGTTATATTCTGTCTGTATGCATCTTACAATGTGAACAAAAAGTAGCAGATATAAGACTGAAGGCAGTTACTGGAACCGTGTCCCAAACCAATATGAAATAGTAGAGTACAAACACTCAAGCCTCTTATGTACTTGCCCCAAAATGGAAAGGAGATGTTTCTTACTCTCTGGTGTAAGACCTTCAAGAGCTCTGGTGTAAGCTCTGCACAGTTTGATAAAGGGACTCTATCTGGTCGTTCTCTTACTGGAGGATTCTCTCCACGGGCCATAGCATTAAAATAGCTAGACAGAAAGAAAACAGCAGGTGTTTGCATTTCAGCAAAATATGTTAACAAAAAGTGTGACTAGAATTTGGCTATTTATTTTCAAGTTTATAAATGACATATTAAAGCTCAACAGTGAAAACTCATAAAGTACGCATATCAAAAGGACATAGCTTGAAGGCACATGACACAGCATCCTTATTGAAATTTAGCAGCTCAGTTCTGGTTAGTGATGGATAGGGGACAGCCTGGAAACTATGTAAGCTGCCTTCCTACAATGAGGAAAGGTGGGATATTGTAATACAGTGGTACCTTGGTTCTCAAACTTAATCCATTTGGGGAGTCTGTTCGACTCTCAAAACCGTTTGAAAACCAAGGCGCAGCTTCCGATTGGCTGCAGGAGACTACCAAGGTACCACTGTATAAGGGTGGGAAGCCTGACCTTCTGAATATTGTTGGTCTGGAACTCTCATTATCTCTGACCATTGACTATGGTGGCTGCGACAACATCTGGAGAGTCAAAGGTTCCCCCACTTCATGGTGGTAGCTGATAATAGGAGGGGGAATCGCATGAGAGCAACAGGCCTGATTGTAGCCTCTTTGCAGTAGACTGGTGATGTGCCACTGGCTGTGCTTCTCCATCAAACTCTACCACTGCTGGCCAGGAGTTAGGATTGCAGCCTGAGCTATTATTTATGCTTAATTTGAAATGTGGTTGTTTGTTCACCGAGGCGGGTAGTGCTTATGTATGCTGGGTAGTAGAGTTTTCATTAATTGGCTATGACAGTGATAGCAGTTTTTGTTCACATACTACAGTTTTGCAATACTCCCACCCACATTGATCTTGGTGTTTTTGGTTTTCGTTTTGCAAAAACCTCTTGAAAATGTTGCACATGAGAAAATGAAAGTCATGTGTGACTGTTGGTCTATATACCTTTAGGTTTCAGGGGATGTATTTTCTCTGGATTTGTTATTTACTGTAGCCTAGGGTGTCTTGAGGGATATTTTGCTCCCTGAACTTATTCCACCCAGGGTTCCCTGTGGTAAGCGTAGGGCAGTTCTTCATAAAATGGTGCTGGTCATTCTTTAATGAAAGCTGCATTAATTCCTGATACTAAATAATTGCTACCCATCTTTACCTGAAAAATGTGTGTTCTCAAAAAGTACCGGGGAAATGCCACAAACATAGAATTCCACAAGTAAACCTATAAACTATTAAGTATAGTATCAGTTTTAAGGATACAGCTTTTTAGAGTAAAATATTAAACTTACTCAGAAGACCATTGGATCAGATCTGGAGGCTGTGTCCGAATGGCAGCTTTTGTAAACTGCTTCAACAAATCTGGAAGCTCCGGAGGGATGCATACTTGTTTGTCTGTTTGTGGCATAATTCCTGTGCCTGTTAGAAAAAATAGCAACCTTCTCTGTTAAGTGTGGGAAAACACATTGCAATTACCCATTGAAACAACCCTTCGGTCAAAGTTCTTCTTTAACCTATAAACTTGTGTGGTGCTATAAAAATGTTGAAAAACAGAAGGCAGGCAGTACCACGCAAGAAAAGCACATAACCTTTTACTGAAAACTATTACATTTGAGTTCTTACTCATTTCACTAAATCACTTTGTATTTTATAACCTTGTGTAATAGTAGCTATATAATTGTGGATTTTACATTTCTACTGTTGGGGAATCCTCCCCCTGCTGAATTTGTCTGGTAATGAACTTCTATGTGCCTGTTATGAAGTCCCTGAACATTGTGCAGATTTCTAGAGTGCATTATCAGTGCATCTAAGGTGCTGACCACACCTGTTGGGCCCACCCATTATCATCACTCACAAAAAGAATGCACCCTTGACCATGTCCAATACTCCACTGTAGTTGTGCTTTCTAGGTGAAGGCTGACAAGCTATCTTTTGCACAATCAGAAAATCTGCAAAAGGCAGGCAGGATCTCTGACTGTCTGTACAGAGTCTGTGTCTGTACAGCATGTACAAATTCAGACTTTTAGTGAATGTGAGGCGGTTGAGACCAGCAGGTGTAATTTAGATTCTCTTCCCTGCTAGCATTCACTGACCATCAGTACACACAGAGCTACTGATGAGCCCTTATGCACACACCCAGTTTCTCCAGAACTGGAAAATTTAGGAATTTTTGAATACAGTAGATCCTATACAATGATAGTTTTCAACATGACAGGTCAGCCTCCCATAGAAAGTATGGGCCATTGCTAAGGACAATGAACGTTCCTCTATGAGTGCAGGACTAATGCGTCTCTTGTGAGAAAGCCTTGTTCCTCTGGGAATGTCAAAAGTATTTCTTTCTCACTTGGCAGTCATAGACTATGATGCATGTGTCCACAGCTGCAGTGCAACTGCTGTTGCAGTGGCTGCAATCCTATGGTTGCAACTGCATCTAATTGGGCACCCTCTGCCCACCCCTTTGCGATATGAAATATTCCCTTTGCTGGTGATAGGAATAATTTATTCCAGTTGTAAAAACTTTGGATAAATGCATATAATGATCACCCAGCCATACCCCCACCAAAATACAAAAAAATAAAAGGGAACTCAAGGAAGTGAAGAGGTCTTGATGAGGCAAGGCTTGGGGGATTTGTACAGAGCAAACGTCTTACAGAAGCAGTTTCACAGACCACTTAGCAAGCAACAAGCACTTGCAAATATATTTTTGTAACTCTGCCACCCCATTACAGCTACCCTATCTCTATTCTTTCCATCCACGCGCTGTCACTATCTCATGTTGGTCTCCCGTACAAATTTGTCCCCAGTCTTTGGCATTGGGCTTGCATCTAACAGACCTTGCACAGATCCACACCATACATTTAAAACACATCCAGCACACATTTGAAGCACATGACTTGCGCCAAAGAATCCTGGGAACTGTAGTTTGTCAAGGGTGCTAGGAACGGTAGCTTCAGGCCAGGAAACTACAGCTCCCGGGACTGTTTGGGGGAAGTAACCGGGCTTTAAATGTGTGATGGATGTGCTTTCGTGGTGTGGATCTGCCCCTTGTTGATGTCGGAGATTAGCATAGTGGGTTAAGAATTCTGCCCCCCAGGGTGGTTCTGTCCTGTATTACCGGAGGCTGAGACGACTCAGCCTCTTCGTGAAGATCGCCCAGCTGCTGTTTTGGGACAGTCACACCAGGCTTTATCGGGGGCTTCACGCTGCTTCCACCCAAGATGGGCCCTTGCATTAACTCAGGACTGCGCCCTTTGTTTCCTCGCAGCTCTAGGTATCCTAGCAACTGGTGCTCTACCTCACAAAGGCACTGATTCTGTCAGCTGCCTTTGCTGGCAGTAAACAGTGAGACACTTGAAAAGGTCATGGGGTTCTTAGTGAGGAGTTAAGAGAACTTCATCAGGGTGGGGTTGGGGAGCCACAAACTCCATGGGTAGGACAGGTATTTTAGATAAATTTTAGGGCTTTCTCTATCTCCTAGATATCTATAAAATGAATGAGTCTAAGGTTTGCTTGATTCTATGGGCATGGCTGCATGGATTTGTCCTGTTGTTTCTACCCTGTCATGTAAATCTGTTGCACACCATCTAGGTTTCTTTCCAATAACACCTGCCATTTTCACTCTTTTGTGGGGCAGAGGAAGTTTGAGTTAGTAAGGTGTGGCAGTGATAAAACAAAGATGACCAGGAGGAAAAATTCTAATCACAGTTGTGGGGAGCAAGAAGTGTTGCTTTTATGGGGGAAAGGGCTGCCTATGATGAGGGCTGCAAAACACTGCTGAGAATGCTTACTGCTGCCTGTCTTCTCTAACCCATTGGTAGGGTGACCATTTGCACAAGAGAATGCCCCACCAAAGCAGAGGACAAAAGGCAACAGAGCTTTGCGTAGAATATTAGTGTGCTAAATATATATGTAGAGATGGAAATGTAGAAATAATTACTATAATTTAAATAGAAATATAATGCATCTCACCATAGCGGGGAAGCCTATAGTCAGGTGGCTTGTATGCTTGCTCTGTCTGATGTCCAGGTGCTAACTGTTGATGGACAAGTTCAAGGTCGCTGCTCTGCCTTCTTATGGTTTTCTAATCTTCAAACCAGACGTGGATTGGACATTCGTTCTAATAGAGGATGCCTTCAAATGGAGGGCTGTCCTCTGACAATGCTTTAAACAGAGGACTACCCTTGGGAAAGTAGGTCACATGGCTACCCTTAGTATTAGATGGTGTTCATTGGCATAAACCACTTCCAAACCATTTTGGATTCCCAAAGAAACTTCTAGTATGTTAATATTTCTGTAGTTCCATCCTGTGTCTATAGCCAAAAAGAACCAAATAAAGCAATATATGTTCAATATGATTGTTACCCACACATTAAGGAAGTTGTAATGTTTTTAAACTGATCTTAATAATGTATTTTTACATTGCGGGCCCAGTCGCAGTGCCGTCCACCCCTTGTTAGTGTCTATAAATGATTAATAACTCAGGTGGACAACGATCTGGATTAATATTGGCCACAACTTTATTGATTACAGAATGTATGTGGGATTTTGGCTCAGGCATTGGGTGTATCCATTCCAGCCTCCTGCTGGAGGACTGGAACTGCTGCAGGTGTGTGCCAGGATTGTGGCCTCTCCAAGATGTCAGTCTACTGAGTTGGCCATCCTAAGGCTGCCGCTGGAAGCCTTATAGGCCCATCTGCCGCACGTTTGGCCTCAGGACTAGGACATCCACCAAGACCCCTTTAACGAGGTACCCTGAAAACACTGCTGAATCATATTGGGTGATGCACCACTTCACCCCACGCTTGAAGACTAGGATTCCATCCAATGCTTTAACCGCCAAAGTTAAGACAATTTGCTGCGAGGAAGGTGAAACCTCTAAACCAGCCAATTTGTCTACAGGGAAAATTCCTTCCTGGCCCCAAATATGGCAAACGTGTGCGACCATAGCAAGGTCAGGAGATACACGGGAAACAAAATAAGGTTAAACTGTGAATGAAGTAACGGAGCATTGTTAAAGCAGCAACCTGAAAGGCAGAAAACATTTTAGAACAAAATGAAATTGACCTGGAAAATAAAGAAGATTAACGATAAGACGGGGGTGGGGGGTGGGGTTTGCTTGCTTCTCCGCTGACTGTGCTGAGGCCAGACAGCGCTGCAGACTTTTATGCAGCCAATGCCCTCCCAGACTGCGAGGCACACCCACAAGGGAGGCCACTGATTGGCCCATTTAAGATGCTGCAGCAGGCAAGAATTTGCCAGATGTCTAGGCAGCCGGGGGGATTTCCCTAATGGCTACCTGGACATGTGCGCTCTGCTCTGATGGACCAGGGATGGCGGCCGAGCGTGAGAGGCCGCGACAGATGCCTACCCAGGAAGGGGTAAGCGTCCGTTGTTGTAAGTTGCCTTCGGATTTCATAATGAAGGGTGGGTAAAAAAATCTGACAGATAATAAGAAATAGCAACAGGAGTTATGTGTGTGCCTGGCAATAAATTGCATGCATAATGCCAACACAATGCTATAGCGTGGTTATAGATTGGTTAACTCAGAAAATAAGCCCACCAAGCTCATTGAGGCTTGCTTCCAAGTTCCAAGTAAGGTTGTACAGGTCTGTATTATCATCTGCATGCTATAGGCTGTATTATTAATCCTATTGTGTGTACGTGGGTGGGATGGGGTTCACAGGTAATTTATAGCCGAAGAAGATTTGAACCAGGGATCCTTGAACTCTGTATGCACAGTCAATGTGTACTCAGAACTCTGTGGGGTTATAATTTCAGCCTTAACCACTTGAGTGGCATTACTACACTCCCTACTAGAAAAGGTAAAGTGGGATCAGGGGGTGACAAGTGGGGTAAATTGAGGGACACATTCAGGAAATGCCAGCATGGTGATTTTTCTTCCTAGTTTTAAATTTATCACAAAGATAATGTCAATATCATGTTTCCCTGGCTCTCCTTTCAAGAAGAAGTGATAGATGCTTCAAAGTAATAACCTTCAAGTGAATGGTTTTCTTTTAAAAAAGGATGAAGAGTGAATATGAAATAGCATGAATATCATAGCAAATAGCATAAGACCTAAACCTAAAACTCTGTTTGACAAAAGAGCATGAACAAAAATGTCAACAGATTATATTGCATTGTTATACGGAGAGAAATGTTTGGTGAAGCATATAGAAATTGTGCATTATGCTAAACAGGTGAAGTAAACATTATTTACCCGCTGTTGAGATGACAACTGAAAGTTATCTCTTGATTCACTCTTTCACTGGGGAAATGTATGATAAACGAAAAGAAAAAGGACATTTCTTTTCATGTAGTCGAATCCACCCCAAGAATTACTGCAATGAAAGCTGCAAAAGCTTCTTAACTATTGTGCCTTTAACACCCCATACTAAATAGGAATGATTCTTTCATTGAAAATAAAATTTAAAAAATAATAATCTTCATTTTCCAGATACTTCTGGTTTAAACTCTGACAGGGTATACTTCAGGAGCAGAGGGTTAAAGTGCATGAAATATAGTTGGTAAGATGGAAGTAATTTAAAATACCACCTTAGGGTTGTTAGCTACTTTTTCCCTGAGATTTTTTACAGTATTCTAGTGGAGAGAAATTAATTATAGTCAGTCTTTTTCCTGCTTCTCCATGCCAGGGAAGCTTGTGCCTTTTCTTTTGTTTTTACCTTGATTAAAAGCACAGGACCTGTATTAACAGACCAGGGTTATTAAAGAGGCGGGATATAAGAGGCAGATAATAACTAGTATCTGTTTTGTCATGTTTTTATATATAATCCATGCTGTAGCATACCAAAAGTAAGCACCTACAGATTAAGATCTGAGTAGCTGTAAGAATGAACCAGAAAAACGGTATATTTTGTCTCTCCAACATAGCAGTGAGCCTAAAGTTCCTACTTGTTAGTAGCTACCATACTTGGAATTTGGGGAGATGGGACTTGGAAATTCTGGAGTTACTAAGTGGCTGGGAGCTACAAGTGATCTCCTATTCATGTAGTGAGAACCATCATATAGTGAGCTTTTCAGGAGTTACTGTATTGTTGTTAGTATCCTGTTTCTGCAAATAATTAATAATAATAATAATAATAATAATAATAATTATACCCCACCCACCTGGTTGGGTTTCTCCAGTCACTCTGGCCGGCTTACAGTACATATAAAACATATTAAAACATCAAATATTAGCATCAAATATGCCTTCAGATATCTTCTAAAAATCAGATAGTTGTTCATTTCCTTGACATCTGATGGGAGGGCACTCCACAGGGAGGGCACCACTACCAAGAAGTCTCTCTGCCTGGTTCCCTGTAACCTCACTCCTAGCAGTGTGGGAACTGCCGGAAGACCCTCGGAGGAGAACCTCAGTGTCTGGGCTGAGCAATGGGGGTGGAGACGCTCCTCCAGGTATACTGGGCTGAGGCTGTTTAAGGCTTTTAAGGTCAGCACCAACACTTTGAATTGTGCTTGGGAACATACCGGGAGTCAGTGAAGAACCTTTAGGACCAGTGTTATATGGTCCTGGCAGCTGCTCCCAGTCACCACTCTAGCTGCCACAATTAAGTCAGCCCTGGTTAAGCTACATGTCAAAGCAATGTAATTAAGCAGAGGGAAACAAGCAAGGGAGGTACATCTGTCTTTCTTGTTCATTGGACCAGCTGCCACTGCTCCTCTTTCTTATTATTGTAAGGTTGCTAATTTGTTTTTGTCAAATCTTCCCCCCATGTCTTTAACAGCAATTTGATATGCAGGCATGGCTGGGCAATTATGCTTATTTTTCAGTTGAGTTGTTTGAAAACTTTACCTGCTGATTTCTGTAGAACAAAGCAGGGCAATTTTTTCCTTAGTCAAATATGGAAACTAGGAAACTAAACTAGGAAACTAGAAGTAATTACAACAAACGTTATTATAAATAAACCTTAATTTAGAATATATCCAAGAGCTCTGGACCATTTCTACCCCTCTCTAAAATGGCCTCTACTAAGCCTGAAATAATATTTCTGGAAAAAGAAGATAGGAACAGACTATATAGATGGAGGAACAAGGTAAGTTAAGTTCCACATTAGGATTCATAATGACCTTAAATACAAGGATAACATTAAAGGTAAAGGGTAAAGGGACCCCTGACCATTAGGTCCAGTCGTGACCGACTCTGGGGTTGTGGCACTCATATCACTTTATTGGCTAAAGGAGCCAGCGTACAGCTTCTGGGTCATGTGGCCAGCA